GTGAGGTTTCTCACAACAAGCATGTGAGTTTCGATAGACTGACCCTCCCTCATTGAGAGAGTGGACAATTTTCGTCGCAAGAGCTGGCGTCGATCCTCACTAGCGGACGCAAATAGTGTCTCTAACTCTTTCCACAAAACATGAGTATCATACATTGCAGAGATATGATGAACAATGTGCTTGTGCACATTCATCATAATGTAGTACACAGCGTCATCACACTGTTCGAAAATCATGTCGATTTTCTCCTGAATTTCTTCATTGGCAGCCTCTCGTTCTTGCTTGGCCGTGATTGCATTTTTACTTGCGTGGTCGGACAGTATTTTGGGAATTTCAAATGCAGGTAGTAACAGCAGTAAAGCATTGCTACGATAGACTGCTGCATAACATTTCTTCTTGCATAAGATGGTTGGCATTTGCGCAGCCCAACCAGCGTAGTTGTTGATGCCGTCCAACTTCTTTGTTGGGTCGAAGTCCTTCGCTTCCCTCCAGAAATCCATGATACCGAACAGAAGAGAAAGAGAAAAAAACTTCTTATACTGAGGTCACCAAGTTAACGCATTCGCAATCTTAACTAGAGGATCAAAGAGAACATTTACGCTCTGATACCATGTTGGAATTTCTGATTTGTAATCAGGAAGACGGTTTTACTCTAGTGCTTGTACATATAGTGTAGTGTAGTCCACGACGGTAATCTAAAACGGTAATGCAATGGATAACAAATAAGGTGTGTCCACTGCTTTTGGACACTGTATTTAGCACTCAGAGTATCTAACTTATTCTAACAAGGAGCTCAAGGTTGTTAAAGCTTGAAATCTGAGGGTAGACTTATTCACTCCTTACAATCCCACAACTCTGCAGACCCTTTCGAAGAGGCCTTTTTCCCTGGACATTTGATGAGGAACATCTTACATCAGTTTTATCGATCGAAAGAAGAACCTCACTTGAAAACCGAAATCTTTTTGAGCTTTACTCCAGAATTGCTCTGATACGTGCTGAAACCATACAGACCTTCAGTAACAATACAGTACCCAACGAGGTGCCCTGTTCTCAATACTCCGAAACATTGCAGAGGGGAGTGCCGAACTTTTTTGACAATTACAGTCTGAGTGGGGCAAGATTGCAGCACTCAAGACGGGCAATCGGGAGTTTGTTACGATGATTTTGTAGAAGAATCCGGATGTGAAGATCCAGAACCTAGCTGGTGATTCTGCCCTTCACTGGGCTGTAATGTTCTTGTCCCTCAGTGAAGCTTTCCTACTTTCAACCACACATAACTTATCTCCGAAGTCTGTTACCTAGATGGTCGTAAAAGACACATCTCAATTACCGAATACTCAAATTCCTGAACATTTATTTCCTCTGTTTTTGTATGTTTAACTGAGACACAGCTTAGAAATCTGTGGAAAGCGATTAGTGAGATGGTGCAAAAGGTCACTTTACAGCGCTGGATAAATGGCGGCTGAATTCCCCCTATGTGTACAGGTGAGTCGGCTTAGAGTTTCAGCAACCCCTTTTACCCTTGTTATTGTAGTGAACGATCAAATTTTTTTTTGGGGGAAATGTACAGCTACGCAGAATTAGATGCATTTTGAACGAGCATTCAATATCTTTGTTTATTTTCTGACGTCAGACCATAAGAGGATTCTCAAGCTCACGACATGTTTTGTCCTCTGACTTCAGCTCGAACATTAGAAGCATCCGTAAAAATGCATGACCTCCTTCGGCAGCTCGTCACAGGAGGAATATTGAACAGTCGGATCAGCAGTCGTCGCAAGATTCCACCTTTATCAAGCGCTGAGCAGTCCATTGCAAGCTCAAAGTTAGCATTTAGCCCCGATAAGCTTGCAGGCAGGCACAGAAAGCTCCTTCATAGTAACTCAAAGCGGTCAACAAATTTACCCTTCGGATCAAATGTCTGTGTATCGAGTGACTGAAGAGGAGTGCAGTCCATAGGAACCGGCAGTGATTTTGGGACTGCTCGATGCTAGTAAAAGTTATTGCAGTGAATAATAATCTGCAAAGATGCGGAAGTGCAGAGAAGACTAATTCTTGAAGGAGATGAGTAACCAATTTGGAAAAAATCAGAGCAGAATCCTTCTACTTGGATGAAGAATGAAACTCCTCCCAAGAGGAACTGCACGAAAGATGACTTCAGGTTTACTTCTGAGTCGGTTCAGCAGAAAATATTTATTACCGACTTACTTTGCAAATGCAGTAATACAAATTTTGTGACGGCTATAGGATCCAGAAGTGAGTCAGACAGGGCGATGGGACGCTTTACAATAAAACTTGATTAACAAAAGAAACTCATCTGATTCATTCGTCAGTCGAGTCTGGATCCTCTGGATCAAGTCATAACAACCAATAGTCCCAGCATTCATGATCACATGTAGGAAAATTGCAGGGTAGCGAGCCATCATTAGAATCTGTTTCAGATTTTTCATCTTCATTAGAGTGAGAAATTTCATGAACATCCATGAACACTCCGTGTCCATAGACTGGAGACAATCTGCTCAAACTTGTTCATCGCCGTTTTAAACAGGTGTAGAGATTTATTCCAATCTTCTGTATGCTGGTTCTCGTGCATAGCGAGAATCGTACCACTCAAGGCACGTGCACGATGGAAACTGCTTGAGGGCAGCCAAAAAAGCTGCCCTCAAGCAGCTTCCATCGTCTTGAGGGCAGCTTTTTTGGTGTTAAAAGTCCTCAGACAGACCAGCTGCGTAGGGACTCTTTGCAGTGCATGCGCAGACTGTCGCCAAAAGCATGACGCTCGCCAAAAGGGCATTGCTGGATAGGACGCTTGTTGAGGCCATCTTTTCCGGCTTGAATCAGCTGCTTACAAAACAGCGCATCAGACAGAGTTGGTAGAGCTTGTAAATCACAATTTACAAGCTCTACCAATTTACAATTTTGTATGCAACTACGGGGGATCAGATGCATCGGTATGAAATCTTGACCAGAACTTTAGCTGCCAAAACTAAACTCACCAGTACGAATTCTGAAATCTAGAACACTGTTGCATACGCTGCGGTGATGGCTGTCGTTGCAATAGAATTCAATTAGGCTCGATGAATGGGCCGGTGATGATGTCCTTTACAGAGTGTTTGCATTTATACTCCTCTTCCTCCAACATAGCTGCTGGATCGGGCTAGCCATGATATGCCTGATGCATGGCTTCGGTGGAATTCTGGAGTAACAACTGGCCTCAATAGTGGCTACGGCGTGAAAGTCCAAATCTCTAGTCAAGTGCTGTAGGAACTTTCAATGGAATAAGATGTCCGAAGGTAAACTTCGACATATTGTGACTGGAATTTGAGTTTACGTTTGTGCAGTCTGTATGCTACAGGGTCATTAGGTGCTGCCCAGTTCTGTAGAAACTTTCCATGTTTGATTGGCTTACGCGAAGATCTGCTTCAAGTCCCTATGACTACAGAGAAGAGTCGATCTTTTTTACATAAGAATGGCTATCACAATTCTTGTATGGCTGCTGGTGACAGTAATAATCTCTTTCATAATGCTGAATGTCCAGATGACAATAAGGGCCTGAATGTAAATTATCGATTACACCAAGAGGGTGAAATTGTTAGATTCCTAAGCAAAGATAAGAGTAAACTTTTCCAGGTTTTCAGAGGCTAAAACATTTTCCACTCTAATAAAAATCTCAGAACGTTAGTTGGCCCTTGGCAGTTGGAATGAAGGTTGTACTACAATATGTGTTCGGGTGATAAAGTCTCTCAGTTTCCGGAAAAAAAGCTAATAGCTTTAAGGCGTGTGTTATACTGAGTGCAGTGTTGTTTAATCCCATATTCCAGTCGTATCAACACTTTACTAAGAACACTGAAAAGCAATTCTGAACCTTCAATCTGCCCAATTGAATTCATGAGGTTTGCTGATAACTGTCCGGATATTGTATACAATGAGTAAAATGATCGAATTTTGCATTGTGTGGCCAGTGAGGATTATGCAAGTTTCTCCTTGCGTTTATATCATATGGATCACTTCAAACTCTGTCCATTATATATATTAACCCATACTTTACGTTCCAGTACAGTGATCGATTGGTGTTCATCATGGAGTGTCGGTTTTTTGCCACTTTCTCTCCTGCAAATATGGCACGAGGTGGGTCAAGTGAGGATTATTACCATCAAGTCCAGAGCAAAATGGCTCGTATGCCAATCTACTCATGACCATTTTTGCCTTTATTATTAACAACGAACGAGAAAGGTACCGTTCCAGCTTCAAGTTCCGGGATCAGACCCTAACGAGAAGGGCTAATTGTAAAGTGCATCATTATCCAACCCCTATTATACATGTCAGAAACCATTAACTAAAGCACATATTATCCATGTCAGAAACCACAAATGCGAGTCAGACTTGCGACATGAGCATGAAAAGGATTCAGGCCGTGTATGAAATGACAGAGTTTGCACATCTGCATCGAGGCCTTTTGTGAACACTGAAGCAAACATTGTTTTGGTCATGAGCAATTCTGCTCTTGACGAGAATATTTCCCCAAGTTATCTTCATGTGCAGCTGGTAGAATAGTTTTGCGCATGGAGTGAGTTATCTTGAAAGGCCTCACCCGCGCATACAAACATCACTCCATCCAAATCCATGAAAATCAGCAAGTTTCCGCCACTGGTTTCCTTAGAAGTCGTATCGGGATATCCTATAATCACAAACTGACCACAAACTTGTTGATCAAGTATTTCACGTTCTCTTAAATTAGTTCATTCTTCTCAACAGAATCAGTCTCTGGAGAAACTTACATTCGACAATCCCTGACCAATCTCTGGAACCTCTCTACTCCAACCTCTTCGTTCCAGTTTGCAGCAGTTGTAGACTATGACGTACATCCCTTTCCTACGTTTGGTGGTATGAGTCCTAACGGAGGAAGCTCAAAAAACCAGAGCAGGGCAAGATCCTCGCGAATCTACAAATGGAGCTTATTCTGATGTTATGGAAATGAATAAATGAATAAATGAATAAATTAATCTATCTATTCTATCAATCTGTCAAGAATGCTGTGAGACTAAAAGTCCCCGACCTGTTTCTAATTGAATTAATCTAAAGCGTGTCGAGTGTTTGGAAGGACCTATTAATTTACGAACTGACATGTCTTGCGGATTTCACCCTCGGTGCCAGTGAGCACACCAAGGTTTCCCATTTTCACCATGCCAGCGGCGAATTCTGTAAAGAAGCTTGAGCGAGGTTTGGAGAAAGTAGTGACGACTTTCTTGCCTACAGGGTTGGTAATGAGGGTGGAGTCGGTGATGAAAATTCCCTTGCCCTGCAGCACATTTTTGTAGTAGGCTCTGTCAAAGGTGTTGGCTGTGGAGTCGATGAAGATTGTGTTAGTCCTGTTGCCCTCAGGGCAGAGCTTCTTGAGGAAGACAGCGAAGTTCTTATTCATGGCAGGGTCGGTGTCATTGGCATCATCCCTTCCGGTGAAGTTGTAGAGATGGGGGAGTATTCCGTTGCAGTGAGAACGACCAATAGTGTGCGCACCTGCACAACATGCACACGGCAGCCAGAACAAATAATTAGTTATGCCATGGAGATTTAGACTTGATACCCACGTTTCAGTTTTGAAACAAAAGAGGAGACTGGACTTGGTCATGTGTATTATCTAGTTGAGTGGATATAGTGATGGAAAGGGTGACAGACCTGAGAGTGTGATCATTTCTCTGGCACCGAACCCCTTGGCAGCAAAGTTAGCAACGAGCCCACTGAAGTTGAGCACAGGGAATGGTAGATTTGTGTCAGCCGTCAAGGCTGTGGAGTTCACTCCATCTCTGCGACCCAAAGCGACGGACCAAGTTGGGCCTCCAACCTGACGATGCCACGGAGGTAGAAAGGTTTGCAAAGGTTAGAATTAGCGAGATCGACATATGTGACACAAAAACGTGGTGACAAATTCCAATATTGAAATATTCAATCAGGAGCTAGCCTCAAAGATATTCAAAGTTTGGAGGCTAACCTTGGCTGTGGCGTCACGAGCAGCCAGGATGAGAATATCTGCGCAGGACACAACTCCTGGGCACACGTGTTCTAGATCAGCCTTGATTTCATCGATCTCTGCAACGCCTCTGAGGCCGAAGTTCACATGAGCTTCTCTCTCCGCTTGGTTGGTTTCGGTCGAGTTTAGGAGGACAGAGCCATCGCAGCCCTGGAATCATTCCAGAAACAAAATAACGGCTGCTAAGAAAAATACATCTTTAGAAGCACTCTATATTTGCAACACTTTCCCTGTACTTCTGAAGTGTCGGATAATATTGTCCAACGACAACATTGTCAAGCTTTTTCAGAATTTTAGCATCAACCTCCTGTACAGAAATTAGTTTCAGATCTTGCTCGTACACGAAGGTCTGTGTATCAAGATTTCTTACCCCAACCCAGCAATCATGGAACTGTAACCTGTTGAAGGCACCAGCAAAGTTTCTGTCCTTCTTGAGGAACTTGGTGACGTAGGCATCGACGATGGAAGCTGCTTGAGGGCAGCTTTTATGGTAAAAGTCCTCAGACAGACCGGCTGCGTAGGGACTCGTCGCAGTGCATACGCATAGTGTTGCCAAAAGCACTACGCTCACCAGAAGCGCATTGGGGCCGTGAGCGCTTGCTGATGCCATCCTTGCTTGCTGGAAATTAAGCTGCATGCAGCACATCATATGAGACAGTTAGAAGCGCAGAAAATGAATGGAAAGACTTTGTAAATCCAATCATCTCAACCCAGTGAATCCATCATAAGAGTACGTCTGAAATATTGAGCTGAACTTTCCACAAATTACTAAGTTAACTATGCTCAATATGCTCGTAGTGATACCGATGTGAATGTTTCGTGAGGATCGAACCTGCTGATGGCAATCGTTAGGAGAAGGTACAGTTTAGGTGGAAGAATGAGCCGGTGATGATGAGCTTCGACAACTTGGATGCATTTATAGTGCTGTTGCAATCAACAGTCACTTGCGGAGGCAGGCATGATATCTGATTATGCATAAATTTCTTTCAATTAGGAGGGATAAATGGGCTCGATAAATTCTGCAGACAAAAGTCTGCATATGTTGTGAAGTCGAGAGGGATTCTTCACTGTGTATTGGAAAACGCTTAATTCTTGGCTTACTCTAAATATTATATACCCATGTGTCTATAGTTTTTTGGGTGATAGTACGCAATTTCCGACCCTTTGATAATATGAATCAAGTATGTATTTATTCTCACTAGAAGCTTAGTCTCCAAGGGGTGTCTTGGATTAAAATTATTGCTTGCACAGATGCTACAGAGAAGCTTGAGTATCCACTATAGTTATTTATTATACAAGTTCCCGTATATCTTGCATATGAGAAGATGTAATATTCAGGAATCATATAGACAGGTTGCATGACGTTTGATGTCCAAAAGTAGACTCAAATGATTGAGTGCAGATACGCCTGTTCGTCCTGTGGTAGGATATTCTTCCTCCGTAATGCAAAAAGAGTTGAATTTATTTCGATTATTCTTTTTCACGTCCCATCTGAATTTGAATCATGCCATGTTCCTCTTGAATCTGGTTTCTCCTTGAATCTGGTTTCTCCTCTAGTCTAAAAACGTAGTAAACTAAATGCGATGATATGATTTGATATAAACATAATCTCAGCAGAGCTTTGAACAGATTTAAATCATCAATAATCGTAGCTTGTAGCTCAATTTTATGAAGTAATTCTGACAAGAATCCTCGTCGGTGCTCGCACGCCCATAAAGTATGCGCAGGAATATTTAATCAACAAATATTGAAGTTATGCGTTTTATCATCTGGCAAGGAGGAAATTGAATGGACGAATCTAGCTGCACTCTGCAATGTGTGATCGGTTTGGTAATTGTTTATCACTTTCGGGCGGTCATCAGGAAACTTCAAGAAGTCAACTAGGCAGGATGAAAGTTGATGGGTTTCGCTTCAGAATTGTCAGAAAATTGGTGCTTTGAATGGAACTGAGATAAATGACATTGCACTCAGTATACGACAAGCATTGCCGCTAGTCGCTATTTCCCAGCAGCTGAGAGATTCGATGAACCGAACCCACATTGTTGCACAAGCCTCAGTCCAATTTTGAGGCCAAACTTCTGCAGGGTTTATATTACAATGGAGATTGTTTAAGCTTCTGCAAAACCCGGACAGTTTCACGATCTGAAGGTTAAGAATCTATCATTTTCATACTCTTGTTATGATCAATAGTTTACCTTAAGGCTCACCTTGTCATCCAGACATCCTTCATGACAAAGACTATATTATTTTAACGGCAACCTTGCTGGAAAAAATTATGCTTCCTTGTATGATCTAGGATGAATCGAATCCTTCTTTGTAGTCATAAGTACTTCAAGCAAGATTAAGGCCGATGCCGTGTGACCTCATGATGCCTGCTTAAACTTCCTTGCAAGCCCAGGACAAATGGAAAATGTCTGCAGATATGGAAACCAAGCATTAAATTATTTCAAATCAATGCACTCCATGTAAAAGTTCATTCTTTAACTTGACCTCAGATGCCAACTCTTTTTCCGGGCAATATTGAGACCAGTTTGCAGTCCTAAATCACCGCGATTGCATGCATGATTCATATCGTTAATCATGCAGAAGCCGCATAGATCGATAAAAAGTAGGCTGGTCTAGAACCTTTCTGTCCAGGCGATGTATCTTACTCGGATATTTTCATCATGTCTGCTCATGACGCCACAGCCAAGGTACTTTTAACTACATCGATTACTTTCTCCTACATTTATGAAAGCACGACGACTGCGTATTTTTGGGAAGCAATCATGTTAAACTCTGGCTAACTCACTGTTTCCTAATAATGTTCGCCTCTTTTCTAATCTTACAGCTGGGGGAACCATCAGGCCCGTCGCTATGTGTCACAGAGAATGATTGCACTACACGACCTGGATGGCTGATAGCAATCTACCACTTCCTGTGCTGAACTTCAGCGGGCTGGTTTCTAACTTTGCTGCCGAGGGACTCAATGCAAGCAAAATGATTACAATCTCAGATCTAACACAATCCTCATGTACCCCACAGCAAACACCGTCGACCGTGAGTAATAGAAAAATGGGCTGCAGGGCAAAGGAATTTTCGTCACTAAGTCTCCCCTCGTTACCAGCCCTGTGGGCGAGAAAGTTGTCACCACGTTCTCCTCTACATGCTTGAAGATGGGAAAGCTTGGGGTGCCAATAAGAACTGAAGATGAAGATCACAGGACGTGACATGAGTAGAGTTAGAAATGTGCCGAAAACCCACAGAAAACGTTAGCGAGTTCATAGAATAAGTGAAAGAACTCAATTAAACAGGTTACTTAACTTGCTCTTGCTCTGACCCAGTGCACTATGAGAAGGTTATGCTGAGGAAACTCGTGCTAAGACGAAGTGTTGGCCATATCTTGCCCTAAAGATAATGGTAATTCCTGATTTGATGTAGGTAACGCTCAATGAACAAGATCCAGTCGCAGCACTCAATCACTACTGCCGAACTTCTCGACCTTATTTAGCTGCAGATCCTTGAAGACTAGAATAAATGCCCCTTCATTCGTAAATTGGCAGCAAAGAGATGACTTTCTAACGATCCAACTGTAAGTAGATCATTACGTCAAGAAATTCTTACCAAAATCGTGCAGGCCAGCTTCTCTTAAAAATTCAAATCAAAATTGATCTAATTCAGCTCATATCTGTAACTAGCGTCACATTATTCACTATCACTGTGCAAAGCACCCTGGCTCTGACGTATTTTTTGCTGAATTTCATTCAATATCACCATGAATTACCTGTCCGTAAGAAGAGACAACTGCAGCTGTATGAGCTCTTTTCGAGTCAAACTCTGAATCTGCGAGCATGGCGGTCACAGCTCACAAGATACTGTTGATTCTTGCACCGTAGCCCAACTGCGACCAGTTCAATATTCTGTTGGTGAGCAGCAGCGAAATTTACTCAGAGCAGGTTCTCATGTTCACGCCCAAGGAATAAACTTTGACGTGAATAGGAGCACCCGGACAAGGATCTCAAGTTCACGCTGAAATGAAAGAAAAATCGGAACGTGAATGGAAGCGTTCGGACAATATCTTATGTAAGAGAATATGAACGAAACGGTGCGATCCTAAAATCAAGGCACACTTGCTCTAGAGTTGTGCAGTTGTCCCACATTTCAGCGATATATCTTCGTTCGTCAGGAGGCAGAACATATGGTTGCTGACTAGGTTCCAAAAAAGCCTACAGACTTTTCGTCTGTCCTGCGATGTCTCGTACTGTATTATTCATGAAGGTACAGTAATTAGATCCTACATCTGCAGACAAAACTACACGAGCTTTCTGGACGTCCTATGATTGGGGGAAGCTTTATTCTCAGTCCGCATAACAGGTCACAAACTGAAGTCTGTGCTTGTATGCTTATCGAGTAGATTCGAGTGTGTGCTAGAGATAGGGAGGGAGCCCATGAGCTATCTCACGCATAGCAGACAGGATGGAAAATCCCATGATGATGTCATGAATGCTATCCGGTCGGTTTCACCCGTGTAAAACAAAGCTGTAACTTGGGCCAGTGCACGTTTGACATTGGCACGATAGATCTTAGCAAGTTTATTTCACACCCCCAATGTCAAGATTATAAGTTTTATCATGGACGATAGTCTATCGTCCGTGGTCTATCGTCGATAGACCACGTAGTGCAACGTCAAATCACATTGCAAAATGAGAAGCAAATGACATTTTCTGATGAGGACTTGGCAAAATCATGGCAAAATTTATTACTCACACGATCCTGAATATGACTGGTAGATGTTGTTTCTTGACGCAATTTTCTCGTGTCTTGGCTCAAAATTGTTTGAAATAAATCAAATTTTGTACGCATTGAACCCCTGAAGTTTTCATAAGACAGTTGTTTCAGCTGTGGTACTTTACTTAAAAAAAGAAGACAAGTGTACCCTTAGACATTGTTATTTGTCTTCTTTCCACGTTTTGCATCTGGATGTTAGATTTGTCATCTATCTTGAGATGATAAGCTTGGAGGTTCACAAGTAAATGAAATAGCAAATATTTGCATACCTTGCTCTCGGGACGAGCACAGACAGTGAAGACTTCAAAATTTTGAGTACAAGACAAGCAATGCACATGAAACTGCGGACTGGGTAATTTTATGATATAACAAAAGACTAAATTTAAGTGAGATAATTAGAACTATTAGTACTCAAAGTGAAAAAACTTGAAGTAGTATTGATAACTAGAAAAATATATACAACTAATGTTCAAGAGAGTGAGGGTCTTTAGAAACTCTAAAGTTGAAAAAATGACACCGACTCTACATCTACATCGTGATCGTTAGTATATATCAGCATCCTGACCTTGAAAACTTGTCAGCATCACCTTCAAACAAGAAACTTTCATTTCTTCAGGTTTCCTCTCTTGTGGAGCAGTCATGGAACTTTACTCTGGTGCTTAGCGTTTACTCGCTTGAAGAATTCCAAGATCATATCCACCTTTGCATGCAATCCTAACTGGCGCAATCGAGGCGAGGAGATTTAGTTCAAAGTTATGGCAGCTCTTTTACGAAGTTCCTTTAGTTTCAAATTCATCTATAGCAGTTTGACAATCTTCAAGATTAAAACCATCTCTTCTCATCGAAATCAAAACTTGTGTGCATTTCGTATGTTTTTTTGGGCCGAGTCTCTTTCATCATTGAACTCAGCGGTTCGCGTCCCACTTCTCCAATTAAACTCGACTTCATTTCACATGAGACTCTCTACTCGATCCATATAGTCCAATCGCCATGACAGAATGCGCCTAATCTCTTGAGTCTCAAGAGTCACTCTGGGTCCGTTCTTCCCTCAAAATGAAAGAGGACTGGTTGATCTGCCTCAAAGTCGTCGACACTGCTAATACTTTACCTCGAGACTATATCCCCTGGTTACAATCCGAACCTTACAATAGGAGATAGGAGCTTTGGAAGTGCAGGAGATGTTTTATATGTGAATGGGGTGCTGTGTCACTTCCATAAGCTTATTCGGTGAGCGTCACTTGAATTTTGAAAATGTTGTCGAGTTGGTGAAAAATTTCTTTTTCCTGGACCGATATAGATGTAGCACCAGATGTCATCTTTCCAGGAGTTTCTCATTACGGGAAGCATTTGGTTTTCATCCCAATGCATACCAATCTGCTCGCTCTTCGTACAATGTTCAACTCCATTTCCATGATTCTGAAGAGGTGTCTGAAATATTGGAGAATAAAGGGACTTGGCGAATCAGTGTGTCGAAAGAATATGTACACGCGTGAGGAAGCTTGGTTTGAATCGGATGCTGTATAGAGTCTACTTCATGTAGCTCGTGCCGTAACTGCAGGCAATCAAAGAGGGACGAACCCCTGGAATCACGTATATTACATAGATTGAAATGTAGATCCTGGATGGATACGATAAAGGATGCATAAATTTATCTGTTTGAATATATATACACGTATATCCTTGGTTAATCCATATTATTCAGTGATATATATATATTCTTCCTTTGCAATTCATGGCTTTAATCTGATCATGGCTCCGAGAGTTATACTCGAATCACAGACAATATCACCCACCCAATGCGACATCAAATAATTTCATTACAATATAATTGTATGAGGTCACGACTTCGTCTCAATAATCACTTAAAGGCATTGAGAATGACTAATGTGAGTGCTTTCAGTAATGTATTCGTGTTCTTTTCTTGAAACCAAAACTAGTGGTTTAATTGAGGACATGATGACTAAGAACAAAACCAAGATAGAGAGGCGGTGGTCAGACAACCGTAAGAAGATGATCAGTTCAGACACATTGTGAAAGAAGTTTGTAACCATCAACACTTAGTCACATCTCTGGCAACATAAATTGAATGTTGCTGGCTTTCATGCATCCAGAAATAACAGAAGGTTTCCATTGACGATTTACCACTTTCACAATACGAGGACATCTTCAAACCTCTGTTAAGGTATTGATTCTGGGTAAAGACTGTGCTGCATGTTCCCTGAGAGATTACGTTGCAACTTAAATCTCAAGGGAAACATCTTGTGTCACCTGAGGGCTTCGAAACAAATCGCTCCAGTGGATACTCTCTGCAGACGCGCACACGAAACCTTCTCTGTAGCATGCGGACTGTGCAAGCGTTGAATTCATCTCAAGTCTGAGAAAAAGTCAAGCGTTTCCCAATGCACATCTCAAGCACGAGAGAGATCCTTTTCCTAATCGACATCATATGCCGACTTTTTTCTGCTGGCATTTTCGAGGCCAGTTATCCCTCCTAAATGAAAGGATCCCATGCACGATGGAATTCATGCCCGCCTGCTCAATCAACTGTTGATTTCAACAGAACTATAAATGCCTCCACTTTGATGACGGTCATCATCACTGGCTCATTCTTCGAGCCCAACTGTTTGTCCTCGCAACGAAGTGCCATCAGCAGGTTCCATTATTACGCAACACTATTTTCGATTTGAGTTCAAGTATTCAAGTATTCATGATTCACAGAGTCTCCGGTGGATGGTCCAGTGACATTTTTCAGACAGACTGTTCTGTTAAATTCACCAAGGAGTGCACATAGTCAGATTTACAAAGTCTTCCCATTCATTGTCTGCTGTTCTAACTGTCTCGTACGATGCTATGCGAACAGCTTACTTTGCAGCGAGCGAAGATGGCAACAGCAAGCGCCAATGGCCCCAATGCGCTTTTGGTGAGCGTTGTACTTTTGGCAACAGTTTGCGCATGCAGTGCGTTGAGTCCCTACGCAGCCGGTCTGTCTGAGGACTTTTACCATAAAAGCTGCCCTCAAGCAGCTTCCATCGTCGATGCCTACGTCACCAAGTTCCTCAAGAAGGACAGAAACTTTGCTGGTGCCTTCAACAGGTTACAGTTCCATGATTGCTGGGTCGGGGTACGAATTCTTGATCCACATCTACACTGATTCGTATTAACTTCTGATGACGTGAACATTCCAAGAGAATTTTATTTGCTGAGGACGTTTTCCCGGACTTTAGAAGTGCAGAGGAAGTGTTGCTAGAAAGTGGTAATTAAGAGGAGTGTTGCCGATGATATATTTGTTTATCTGATGATTCCAGGGCTGCGATGGCTCTGTTCTCTTGAACTCGACCGAAACCAACCAAGCGGAGAGGGAAGCTCATGTGAACTTCGGCCTCAGAGGAGTTGCAGAGATCGATGAAATCAAGGCAGCTCTAGAACACTTGTGCCCAGGAGTTGTGTCCTGCGCAGATATTCTCATCCTTGCTGCCCGTGACGCCACAGCCAAGGTCGGTCTCCATTCTTTTACCATCATCCCGCCAGCTGCATACTCAACATTTACAGATCGATTTTTGTTGACACATTTTCGCATCGGATCTACCAATCTCTCGAATTCTAAGTCTTGCAAATCTTTCTGCCTCCCTCGCATCGACAGGTTGGAGGCCCAACTTGGACCGTCGCATTGGGTCGCAGAGATGGAGTGAACTCCACAGCCTTGATGGCTGACACAAATCTACCATTCCCTGTGCTCAACTTCAGTGGGCTCGTTGCTAACTTTGCTGCCAAGGGTTTCGGTGCCAGAGAAATGATCACACTCTCAGGTCTGAATTCCTTACATTCTGTCATTTTAGCTGCTTGCACTAAATTTGCGTACAGAAAAGAAACGCAACGAAGTCAAGTATCCTCTTTTGCTTAAGAACAGAAAGGTGGGTACCTCAAGGGCAGAACTGATATTTGTTCTGGCTGCATTCTGTGCAGGTGCACACACTATCGGTCGGTCTCACTGCAATGGAATCCTCCCCCATCTCTACAACTTCACCGGAAGGGATGATGCCAATGACACCGACCCTGCCATGAATAAGAACTTCGCTGTCTTCCTCAAGAAGCTCTGCCCTGAGGGCAACAGGACCAACACAATCTTCATCGACTCCACAGCCAACACCTTTGACAGAGCCTACTACAAAAATGTGCTGCAGGGCAAGGGAATTTTCATCACCGACTCCACCCTCATTACCAACCCTGTAGGCAAGAAAGTCGTCACTTCCTTCTCCAAACCTCGCTCAAGCTTCTTTACAGAGTTCGCTGCTGGCATGGTGAAAATGGGAAACCTTGGTGTGCTCACTGGCACCGAGGGTGAAATCCGCAAGACATGTCAGTTTGTAAATTAATAGGTCGTTCCAAAGACTCGACACGTTTTAGATCAATTCAATTAGAAACAGGTCGGGGACTTTTAGTCTCACAGCATTCTTGACAGATTGATAGAATAGATAGATTCATTTATTCATTTATTCATTTCCATAACATCAGAATAAGCTCCATTTGTAGATTCGCGAGGATCTTGCCCTGCTCTGGTTGTTTGAGCTTCCTCCGTTAGGACTCATACCACCAAACGTAGGAAAGGGATGTACGTCATAGTCTACAACTGCCGCAAACTGGAACGAAGAGGTTGGATTAGAGAGGTTCCAGTCATTCGTCGGGGATTGTTGAATGTAAGTTTCTCCAGAGACTGATTCTTTTGAGAAGAATAAAATAATTTGCGCGGACGTGAAAGACTCGATGAACAAGTTTATGGCCAGTTTGTGAATTCAAAATATTCCGATACAACTTCTAACATAACCCGGCAGAAACTTGCTGATTTTCATGGATTTGGATGGACTGATGATTGTATGCGCGGGCGAGGCCTTGCATAATAGCGTTCTTCATATGAAAAGCTTTTCTAACAGCTGCACTTGAAGATAGCTTCGGGAAATGTTTTCGCGAAGAGCACAATTGCTCTTGACTAAGATCCCAGGAATCTGGAAGGGTCGATTCAGCCTGCAGCTGTGGCTTCCGAATTATAAAAATTGTGTAGAGGAACTGATGCACTTAACAATTAGCCCTTCTCGTCAGGGTCTGACACCGGAACTTGAAGCTGGAAAGGTACCTTTCCTTTTCGTTATTAATTACAAAAGCAAATGGTGGAGGCGATATCGACACGCTCACAGAATAAAAACAGAATAAGCTTCCATAATCACGAGTACGATCTTCTGGCATATTCCACTAATTTCGACCAGAAAACAGTGTGAGGGCATCACGATAATAAACGAAAATTCAACATAGATAACAGTTATACTTGATTTGAGAGCTCTGGCTTTGGTTTCTTACACCGACTGCTAAGGGCATGAGAGGACGCATCTGCTTGCCTAATAGATGACATTCCGAGCTCTGCAGCCCATGGATAGGCATTACTATACATGGCTATTACTATAGAAACAATTATCTACGTATAATATTAATAATCTTGAAGTCCTATCATATGGTTAGAAATCTCAGCCAATGATCATAATATAACTAATATCAGAGTGATAGAAGTTATTTTCCGATGAATGATAAAAGTCATATTGACTAAGTTTTGAGACTTTTGCTAGTTGACGTAAACAATGAAGGACCGTAAACTCTTGGAAATGCTCAACAACTTACCTCCGAATTAGAGTTTTTATGTGGCGAAACTAAATCTTGCGGATATAGCTTTGCAATTTTTCAGGCCTTTCAAGGAAAGCGAAAATTTGAGAGGCCCAAAAACATACAAGTATCATAAAGCAGATCCTTTATATAGCGCTGAATGTGTAGGAAAAGTAGCAGAAGAGAAAGTACTGTGGGAGATACGATTAAGTAGACATGGTCAAAGAATCAATGTAAGATCGATGTTTGTAACCGCCTTCCGTTGTTAAATACGCCAGCGCTTGTGATCAGAGTATACTTTTCAGACACATCCGTACCAAATCAGATTACTTCAGATTACGCCATGTGCAAGACTGTGAACAGACGGTCTGTCATGGAGAGAATCTAAACTTTGCGTCCGAGGACAGCGTTGTAGAATTGATGTCGTTGTGCTTGCTGACGCAATCTTTGATAAAAGCTTATATAACTTCTCCCAAGTCCGGTATTTCACGATTTCAATAGCCCTGAATGTAGTCCATGAGTTGGCCAGAACTAACGGTTCGACCATTTGATGATCACTTGTGTGATGAAGCAGTAATCAGCCACAGCGCGCAGTAACTGATGCAATAATCTTCGTCTCGCTGATGTCTGGCGGTCTCTGTGTCGAACTAAGACCTAGTGCTAAATTAATCAGAAGTCTGCACAGTCCCAACTCACTTTCGATTCCGACAGACTTTCACGTTACTAAGACATATGAATGGTACCAGCACACCATCCATTGAATGTCTTTGATGTCCACCACGCGGCAAACTATAGCTGTATGAGCATTATATTCCCGTCCCAGTTCGGGACGGGAATATAGAAGAGTAGATTGGCAAACGAGCTGGCAACTTGGGCTGAAATTGAAGCTGGACATCTTAACTGGACGCACCTCGTGGCATATTTCTAGGCGAGCAAATAGTGAAGAAACCGGCAGTCCTTGAAACAAAGGATGTGATCACTCTCTCGATACAAAATACGTATATATATATATATATATATATATATATATTGAAAATGACCATCTATTGATCTCTCGAATCACTCGTTTAAATTGAAGGTAAAAAATATGGAAAGACGTGCAATCGAAACCAGAAAATATGCTCTGATTACACAGCTGATCTAATCAAAGACGTTGGTAGCTACTCATGGAAAGGGCGACGATAGTTAATATAGTGAAAAATATATATTTAGTATGCTTTTCACAATAATATGTACTTAATTCATCGAAATGCAGGATATACAATGATTTAACTTGTTATTCTATATGACTTGTTTTTTTATATCAAGTAAAACTTTGAGAACTTGATTATTTTTACTTGTACTATGAAATATAAACTCAAAACTTTGTCCATTATATATAGTTACCCATTCTTTACGAACCAGCACAGTGACCGAATGGTGTTCGTCATGGAGTGTCGGTTCTTTGCTACTTTCTCGCCTGCAAATATGGCTCGAGGTGGGTCAAGTGAAGATGTCTAACATCAGGTATTGAGCAAAATGGCTCGTATGCCAATCTACTCCTCATGAGCTGGCTGGCCCCATATGGACAATTTTCACATGTTTTTGTAGTTTCATTTTATCTTCATTTTTGTTCTATTTTTTCAATTATTTTCGTCCTATCCGTACGAAGAACAAAAAGGTTACAGAAGAATCAGAACTTCCTTCAGTCCACTGAAGCAAGGTCCAAGTCGAACTTGTTGCGACGCTAAATCCTCAATTTCAGCTCTCACTATTCCAATGATGAGAGAATATGTGACTTTTACAGATTCATGTCCAGCTGACTTTCCTCCAACATCTTCGTTTCCTGATATGATGATATTATCACCATTCTCCTGAATGGTGATACCAATCGCAAGGTGCCGCAGCTAAAGCTCAAATGTCGAGCCTTGGTCCGAAGTACCGTGCAGTGCCCGTCCTCGTGCAAAGCATTCTTTAAAGCTCTTATTCTTGCGAGAATGGACTGTTGGGATTGTGGGTTCGCGAGAAGTGTGCGTCTTTTCCGGTTATGAGTAAGATTCTGACAGGCAAGAATTCAGACAGATCGTGAAATTTCTTCTGCGACGTTAGCGTGCACATGCGACCCTGCAGTATACTTGGGATCAAGGGGCTGCTGGTCACGACAAGATTAATGCAGGGAGGGTCCACTAATATTCATCTGTCTGGGACGGCCATGCACGCAGAGTCCTCTAGCTGGATCAAACCTTATAGTGCTGCAGCTTTGCCGCTTAATGGACATCAAAGATATTCAGTGGATGGTGTGCTGGTACCATTGAATGGCTGAGTAACGTCAAAGTCTGTCGGAATCGAAAGTGAGATGGGACTGTGCAGACTAGTAATTACTCTAGCACTAGATGTTAGTTCGAGACAGAGGCCTACAGGCATCAGCAACACGAAGAAAATTGCATCAGTTACTGAGCACTGTGGCTGATTACTACTTCATCACACAAGTGGTCATCAAATGGTCGAACCGTTAGTTCTGATCAAGTCATGGACTACATTCAGGGCCGTTGAAATCATGAAACCGGAACTTGGAGAAGTTATATAAGTTTTTGGTTGTCAAAGATTGCGTTAGCAAGCAGCACAACGACATCGATTCCACAACGCTCTGTCTTTTTCTATGCATAACCTCCATCAGTATTTGATATGTAAACGTGAGAGAGATCAAAGACGGATGGTGATAACACTCTGCATTGACAATATCTGTGAAGCGATGAATTTTACTTTCCCAGTTGTAGAGAACGGCCACTATTTATGGCTTTTTTCGCAATTCATCATGTCCCTCACTAGAATTAACCTCAATCAACCTAAGACTTGAAAACTAAGACAGAAAACAAAGTTGGTTCATGTGTAGTTAGTTCGTAGTATAGTCTTTCTGTCTATAAATGCCCACCTCAAATGGGTTTGCCAGAGATGGGAATGGTTGATCGAGGCTTCAGTGTTTTGGTAGCAGTACGGAAGGGAGTACTTCTCGGAGCTTTTCTTTTTCTTCTTATGGAATGTCTAACTGTCGCTTGCATTCACACTTGCCTTTGAAAAACCAGCGGAAGACTGATGTTGCTGGTTCCAGTTGCTGAGCCATAGCTTTCTAAGGCACATGCACATTCAGGCCATGCAGCAAGTTAAAAAAACACGAAACCGGACAAAGATCACTTTTTTCGACTCCCATCTGTTGGAATAATTTTAGATCTGAAATATTTTAAAACAATATGGAAAAAGTTACTCGAATACATCGTTCTTCATTTCTTTTACTTGGTGATTATATGCATATTATAAATAAATAAATATAAGTTTCATTCTATCTTGCATATGAGCAGATGTAATACTCTAGAATCAGATAGACAGGTTGCATGCATTTGATGTCGAAAACTAGACTCAAATGATTAAATGCAGATACGCCTGTTCGTCCTTTGGTAGCATCTTCTTCCACCGGAATGCAAAGAGCAGTTGAATCCACTTGGATTATACTTTTTTACTAAGCATCTGAATTGGAATCATGCCATGTTTCTCTTGAATCTGGTTTTTCCCGAGTCTAAAAACGTAGTAAACTACAGGAAATGATACGATTTAATTTAAACATAATCTCAGCGGGGCTTGGTACAGATTTAGAGCATCAAAATTGTAGCTATAGTAGTCTACCTCATGACTCTATTTTATGAAGTTTTTCTGACAAGAATCCTCATCAGTGCTCGCACGCCCATAAAATATGCGTAGATATATGTACTCAACAATTTTTGAAGCGATGTGTTTTATCATCTGGCAAGGAGGAACTTGCATGGACGAATCTAGCCGCACTCTGCAATGTGTGATCGGTTTGGTAATTGTTTATCACTTTCGGGCGGTCATCAGGAAACTTCAAGAAGTCAACTAGGCAGGATGAAAGTTGATGGGTTTCGCTTCAGAACTGTCAGAAAATTGGTGCTTTGAATGGAACTGAGATAAATGACATTGCACTCAGTATACGACAAGCATTGCCGCTAGTCGCTATTTCCCAGCAGCTGAGAGATTCGATGAACCGAACCCACATTGTTGCACAAGCCTCAGTCCAATTTTGAGGCCAAACGTCTGCAGGGTTTATATTAC